TACGGGATGAGGTTTCTAGCAGTATGCCCTACCTTCTCTTTTTATCAGTCCTATCATTGGCTTTGCGAGGTAAAGGAGTGCATCGGCAGGGCAACGAACCACCTGCGTGAGTGGCGAACAATCTACCGGTGTGCCACCGATGCACAATCATAAACTGTACAATCGCAGTTATATTTTTAACAAAGAATTCATAACATCAATCGGATACTGGTAAAATTTGTCCTCGAAAATGTATTACACTATGTAAGGTGTAATCTAGAATGGGTGATTAATTGGAAATTAGAAAAGGGGCAGAAACTCGGATGGTGAAAAATACCCATTGGAACATTAGATTGAAAAGAACAAGAAGTTCAAAAAAGATGATGATCTTTTCGGTGATTTCATTCTCAAAAGCTATACAATCGCATTTATATAGATTAGTTTACATGGATACAATTATTATTTGTTTAATTCCACATAGTAACGAAGGAGATAATAATTTTCAACTCGATATGAAAGTTTGAAGGTAAGAATATAGATTACAAGGGGCTTAGAGGCAAGATTTCATAGGATCAGAAAACAGTTACAACGTATATCAAATTAATATTTGATAACTGGAGAAATAATTTTAAAGGCGAATAAAAGGTGATAATTATTTTCAACTTAATATGAATTACAAGCGGCTTAGACACAAAAATTAAGCCGAAAAGAAGTTGGTATGACGTAATAAGTATGAGAGAATGACTAGTCAATGTAATTTTACTAGTTGTATCATTGGCCATTCGAGATCAGAAACTGGACCTCTGTATTCAAAAGCACTGTGCGTCGGTGGCACAGTGGTTAGGACTCTCGCGGACCACGGAAATTGTCCGAGGTTCGATCCCCGGCCGACGCACACCTGATATCTGTGGTCAGTCTGCGAAATTTGGGCTACCGATATCCATGCTGAGAATTCCATACTTGTACCAAAAATACAGTGTGGAATCAAGCTGTAATCAAAAAAATAAATAAAATTCACTTACCCTACCATGGCCAGAGTAACGTTCTTACTAAAATTTTGCTTCTTTTTATTATGTAAGTCTACTATTATTATTCTCACCACCCTTATTTTACTATCACTCTATTACTGTTCATTAATAACATCGCATTTTCATACAGATTTTATGTAAAAAAAACTTACCATCTTTCCACTAGTTTTTGTTCACTCTACACAGTTATACTGATTAGTTATTCTCTCATACTTATTGCATCATCCAAACTTTTGCCCCTTTTCTAATTTCCAATTAATCACCCCTTCTAGATTACACCTTACATAGTGTAATACATTTTCGAGGACAAATTTTACCAGTATCCGATTGATGTTATGAATTCTTTGTTAAAAATATAATTGCGATTGTACAGCTTATGAAAATGCATCGTCGAGAAGAAAATCCTCATTGGCTGTTACGTCTTTTGCTTTTTCTTATGACCCAATATGAGAATGTTTCGTTAAGCGAATATTCGTCAAGTGTTTCTTCTAAACAACCTTTAGATTCCTTTTTATTCTGTATAAAATAGTTTCATTTTGTCAAAACTATAGCACACACTGAATTTTTCAACGGTCTCTTCTGTTCTCTAACTTGACCGGGTGTCATCTTACATAGAAAGATATAAGTAAAAGCTCACTGAAATGTTAACCTTTTTTTTAAGTGAAACGACTGTATTCAATGCTTTGTCAATTAGTTTATGCCAACATAAGAGTATGCTACTTGTTATAAATTTACCATCAAAGTTATACAGCATTAATAAAGTAACATTAATTTGTTTAATATACACGTGGGCTTTTGATACAATATAGTTAATAAGACCGTTTACTATACCAAATACAATAGTAGAAAAATAGTTTCTTACAAGTATGCTCCAGTTCTGCAGTTGTTCCTTTCAGTTTTTAGAAACAACGTTTAAAAAGGAGACAACCACTAACACATAGCAGCTTTTTATTTGTCTCAAAACAAATAACACATATCTACAAACAATTTTTCACACAGTGATTATGCCCACTTAGTCAGTTCAACTTTCTATTGGCCACTAGGGTCTCCCATTTCAGGTGTAGGGCGCATGTTCACGGATGGTGCTGACTGAAGGCAACACTGTAGTGTGAAATGGCAGGAGTTGAAATCCACACGTCATTAAGTTATATAATCTGGCGGCTGAACGACTGACCGGCTGGCCTCGTACTCTTAAGGTCCTGAGTTCCATCCTTAGTGAAGGTGTTTTAAATAACGCTTCCAATAATATCGTTATTTATTAATTTATTTTTGATTACAGCTTGATTCTTGTTTTACATAAATAATATAATTAGTTGTACAGAAGTATATCTAAAAGCATATTTGACCCACTCTGTATCACTTTAAAAGAGTAATTATAGGTAAATACACCAACAGTTGTTTTACCCAAATATACCAGAGTAATTGTTGTTAAAGACTCGCAAATTAAACTGTTTGGGTTGTGCAACTAAAGATGACAATGGACACAAATGCCTGAATGGAGCTTCCTTGTCCTTCTATTATCAACAGAATAAATTGACAGAAATTGTAACACAATTTGATTCAGTCTGAACAAACACAGACCATCATCTTTATACTAGTGGTATTATACTGCAGTCATACTGAAACTTTAAAAAGTATACCATAACTAACACCTTAATATGGGAAAGTTAAACTTTAAGCACCAATAACTACCAATCAGCAAATGATCTGGAACGCACCAATCACTTGAAGGAGGCATTTTTGTCTATGGAATACATATATATATGAAAAAATGCATAAAATCTGTGGAAAAATGTCACGTATCTCTCAGTTTTAGGTTGGAGTATCAAGAGAGTATAATTCCATTGTGGGTAAAATTTATTTTGATAATACGGTAATACTTCCTGAGCAATAAATTGTACTCGAAACGTCATCAGTAAATATCACTGTATAACACCGTGAGACGTCATCAAAATAAAACCTAAGGATGTCTTAGATGGATTATAAATTTTACCCGCAATGGAACTATGCTCTACCACAGTGCACAAATTCTATTCTTATATCAACAGGTTGATGGAATCCCAGCAGAAGCTTTGAAAATAGACCCAGAGACAACAGCGGACTTGATGACGCCACTGCTGGAGAAGGTGTGGAAAGAGGGCAAATTACCCGAGGATTGGAAGAACGGATACTTATTCAAACTACCAAAGAAAGGAGACCTAAATCAATGTAAAAACTGGCGTGGAATTATGCTCCTGTCCATCCCAAGCAAAATACTAAGCTGCATCATCCTGGAGAGAATCAAACAAGCCCTGGATGCAAAACTCCGACCGGAACAGGCAGGATTCAGGAGAAACAAGTCATGTATTGATCAAATCGCCAAACTACGGATCATCATTGAACAAAGATTGGAATAACAGTCACCTCTCCATCTCAACTTCATCGACTCTGAAAACGCCTTCGATGGTGCAGCGTCGATCGAGAGGTGATTTGGCAACTACTTCGCTAGTACGGGGTCCCATCGACAATTATACACCTCATCCAACAGTTATACGACAATACTGCATGCCAAGTAATCCACAACGGGAAACTTACGGAAGCCTTCGAGGTGAGGACGGGAGTGAGGCAAGGCTGTCTACTATCACCAATGATCTTCCTGATTGCAGTCGATTGGATAATGCGACAGACAACGGCAACCAACGAGGGAACAGGCATAAAATGGACTGACACAAAAGATTTGGAGGATCTGGATTTCGCCGATGATATATGTCTGACTTCCCACAAACTAGAAGATATGCAAGTGAAAAGCAACAAGTTGGCAGAAGAAGCATCCACAGAAGACAGGACTTCAAATGAACATAGATAAAACAGAGGTGATGAAGATTCCTAGCCAACATCAACAACAACAACAGACAACAATCAGCATAAATGGGAGGGACCTGAAAGAAACAGCCTCCTCCACCTACCTGGGAAGCATCGTCTCAACCACAGGCGGACGGAACTGACGAGGATATCAAAGCCAGAATCGGAAAAGCAAGACAAGCTTTCACAACTCTCAAGTCTGTGTGGAGGTCAACAGCACTCAGCATCAAAACTAAGATCCGGATTTTCAACTCCAATGTAAAGTCGGTGCTACAATACGGATCAGAGACTCGGCGAGTCATAAAGAGCATCTCAAACAAACTTCAGACCTTCATTAACAGCTGTCTTCACTCAATAATCAAGATCAGATGGCCGGTCAGAAAAGATCAGCAACAGGGATCTCTGGCAATGAGTGAACCAACACAGCAGGAACCGATTGTGAAACAAATAGGCAGGAAGAAATGGAAGTGGATTGGACTGGCCATACTCTGAGGAGACCATCAAGTGACATCACTAGACAAGCCATTACTCGAGTGGAACCCGAAAGGGAGGCGGCGAGTTGGTCGTCAGTGCAAGGGTGAGTTGGAGGAGGTCATGTGAGGAGGAGATGAAAGCATGTGGACAGACCTGGAGCAGGGTGAAAAAGTTGTCAGAAAACAGAAGGCAATGGAGGTGCGCAGCTGAAGCCCTATGTTCCTCTAGGAACTAAAGGATACAATAATAATAATCAACAGGTTAATTTAACCACATTCTATGCATGAAATTATTTAGGTTTTCTAGCCCTAAAGTAACCACAATCTCTCCTGAACCTAACCCGATAGTGAAAATACCCCTAAACTAACGGTAATCTAACTCAAACCAACGCTAATGTTGCCTTTATTAGGTTAAACTAACCCTAACTTATCCTTGAACTAAACCGTAACTTAATCTTTCCCAAACCTAAGCTGAAACTTCCCAGATATCTCATTTAATAGCCTAACACTTCAATGAGCATACTTTATTGATGATGACAACATTATTTGCCAGGTTTCACTAACTTGTTCAGTGAGAGTTTCTAGGTCAATGGTGCAGTCATACTCCATTGGTAGTTTATGGTGCTTAAAGTTTAACTTTACCCTTAATATATTATTGAGGACAAAACTAAGTGCTTACTTTTGGCTTCCTTCACTTGGTTTCGGCAATTCTATTTGTTCAAATCCAATAGACACAGTCTCAAAGTATTGTCTAAACTGATCTCCAATAAAAATGAAATTGCATACTCTGTTTGGCATTAATACAAGATTGTTATTCAGTGTAGGAGATTCAAGTTGTCTTTCAACTGAATCATGACGATTTATCAGATAGTCACACTCTAGAATATTTTAATTAAAAATAAAAAAAATAAAAAGTGCAATTGAGCCGGTAAAGTGAATTACAGCTAGCAACTTACAAGTAATTAAACTTTGCGAAGAAGCAGGATGGATAAAAAAGGATCAATGGAATATTAACTTACAGGGATTATGTATGTTTCAAAGACACGAAGATCGTATCACTTCAAATATTCAGTTGTTCATCTGAGTAATATATAAAGCACTAGAGTAGTAAATTTTAGATTGATATTTCTGTGCACCACTGAACTCTTTCAAATGACAATATTTCACATTCTCCCTAACTTTTTCTATTCCCGCGACGCTAGTATTACAGTTGTTAAGTAAAACACGGTCTGCTCATTGAAACAATCGAAATTACATTTTAGAAAATTGCGGGGAATTTTTTGGAAGGTTAAAAACGATGAATTTTCGGAAAATAAACCTGAATCTGATATTTTCTTAATAAATCCATGGAAACGTGTGAAAACTAGTTTTAATAATTATTGACATCTTATGCCAGATCCTCAGATGGAATGTGAACAAGAAATGACAAGTTTGATATCTGACGGTAACATGAAGGAGATCGTGTGTAGAGGAGGGGCAATCGTAAGGCCAATCAAAAGACTGCAGAGAAAAGAATGAAATGGGGAGATCCTGTTGCCGCCTAGAGTTTCTCTCGGAACCCTAAGGAATAATAATTTGCAATATCCATCTATAGCCTTGAGGAAACACTTGTTTGCTCTCTGTATCTTATAGAATGAGTGATGCGCAACCTAGTTTAGGGACTACTATAAACACTTAATTTTACGATAGGATTTTAGAACTACATGGATACGTTGATTGATATCCACCAACTGGTTCACACAGATAGTCCGATTCCACATGACGACCTTCAGTGATCTAAATAACTTGACAATCAAATACAGCACTTTAACAAGAAGTATCTCAGGCTACAATTTCAAGGGAGAGGTATATTTCCTCAATGAAAATAAGTCTTACTGAAAATGTCATCAGAAATCAAAGGAGAAATTGAAACAGAATAGAAACTTTGTAAGTACAAGTTAGATGTTTGGCAACAATCAGTAAGAAGGTCTATACCTGGGATTCTTGCTTATTAGCACTCATCAGCAATGTGTAATGGCAAACTTGAAGAATACTCGAACTTGCTTTACTCAGTATTACAATCAGGGACTTTACCGCTGGGTTATTCCGGTCCTCGACTGACTTCCTGTCAGACTAATATTTACATGGACTGATCAAAGAGGTAGTAATAAGTCCCATCTGTCCGGAATTTATCGGTGTTGATTGGATTATATCAGTCACCAGGCTAGGAGACTTACCACCGCAGTGCACTCTGAATAAGATAATAGAAGACAGTTAGCAGGAGACCTGTGGATTTCGTTCTTACTGACTCACTAGCAAAGGATATCTTCGGTTGCTTTTATTTTAAGATAACTTGTTATGGTATCTTTAATCGGACCGGTAATATTCATAAAAATAAAATTGCATAACGAATACAGAAGACTTTACTTAAGAAAATTCTTATCAGATAAACGCCGTACTTCATTTATACAGATGTATATGATTAATTTGTCTTACCTGTTCCTCGAATATGACTGCCCCCAGGTATTTCACTGACAGGCAACAATTTTTTTGTAAAAGTGTAACGTAACCGAAAACCACGACGATTTGAATTGAACACTTTCATCATAACATTTTGTTCATCATTATTACTACTACCACTAGTATGGCTCATTTGTATCTGACCCGTCACAAATAATACAACTAGACTTGGCCCACTAGATACAATGTGAATACTATCTTCCGAAATATCACATATACGTTGACCGATTGAATTCGTACTGATACTTGTGTTGTCTATCTGAAATCCATCATAAAACTGAATGAAATCCTTTGGACATCTAAAGAGGCAAAGAAAATTAAATAAAATTTTGAATTCTTATGAAAGGAAATATTAAAACAAAATATAAGTTAGTCTTCAAGCTAAACTAATCTGTCTGCAAATAGCACTTGAAGTACCATTCAATATCCCAGTCCTTTCAAAATTTTATGATGTCATCCTAATACTCGTTTGTCTGGTCAGAAAATGAACATTTATACCGTGATCTAGGAAAAGGTGTACAATCGTATGGCTTATTTAAACTGAAGTATTTATCATCTGGGTAGTTTTTCGTATTCAATAATTTCACTAAGTAAGCAACAAAACGTACTACATTTAAAGGCCTTAATAACTTTTAAATTTAAGCATTCATCCAGTTGAGACTCATTAGACATGATGCTTTTCAAATGACAGTTAGTTGTTTACCATAGTAGTTTTCAGTGCTATTAACTGACTAGTTCGTCAGTGAGTGACGCCTGTCTGAATGAGAGTATTTCGACTAGGAGTTAAATGTTTTCGGGAACTTTCATTAATAACCAAGTATAGAAAGTGTATTATCAAAGATTTTGATGGTCTCAATGAGAAAATATACATTTTCACTATCATAGTGTAGTTGTTCCAGAGTATCTCAACATTCTGTGGCACTTAGGCTATCCATAAACCGATAAGAACTATCTAGTCAAGTTGACAGGTAAACTCATTTTCTGATTCACCATGAGGCCCTACATGAGATCTCAGAAATTAAAGGAGGGCCTTATTGTAATATATATATATATATATCTTGAAAAGCATTTTCGGATGAAAACTCAAGTTTAAAGAAGGTATAATAAACAAGGAATGATTAATCCCAAAATGAGAATGAAAAACAACTAAAATGTTATTTTTATTACTCATTTCAATAAATAGACTTCTATTTTGTTTCGTTATTAATGAAAGCTCTTATGCATAAATAAATTATGCCTGAAACAGAACAAAAAAGGCATTTCAACTAATTAAATCAGTTCTATGAATGAGCGATCCTCATCATAAAAAAAACAGTAAATTTTTTTATTAGTTACGTTTTTTTTCAAGAAATAGTGGGTTATATTCCGATTCATAGTAACGTAGTTGAAACCAACCAATAAAAGTATGGACATTTAAACACTAGTTTGAATATTTCAGACAATAATATCCTGAAGAGTTTAGCAACTATTTTTTCACTGACTGAAGAAAATAGACTGCGAAACCCAATATGATTAATTATTCAAAAATAAATTTGTTTCATATACTTCTACCTTTTTATTGTTATGTTTTATAACCGATATATATATATATATATATATATATATATATATATTGGCTTTTTAAATGAATACCTGAATACTGCTGCGGGTTAGAGCTTCCAATAATTTGTTTGATGGTGGCCAATAGGAGTTTCCAAGGTCAAATGCAAAATAGATAACAATATATGGTACCTATTACAAAAAGATGGCTGCAAAACATGGTGCACCCAACACCACCGGTGGAGTGCTCAAAACTCACAGTATGCACCATCACTCAAAGAGATACAGGCACGTCCAGTTGACGAGTCTCGAACAAGGTGGTTTAGGTTTCCTAGATTCTATTGCTAGCCACTACCAGATAGATAACATCATAAGTGTGTTTCATTAGTCCATCCAAATCATACAGAATAATTTAAGAAAACAAAATGAGTAGTAAAAACAGAAAACATTTTGTAAAAAGTCCCACCGGTGAACACCTTAAAACTGTGTTGCCCAGTGTGAGAAGATACAGTAACTAAGAATGAATAAATAAAAACACCAAAGAAAAATTGTTCGACTTTTAGAAGAACTACAAACACAGAACTTTACGAAAGAAAGACTGTTGTGTTTTCAAGGCATAACATAAATTTTAAGTCTTTTAAATGTTTTTTGTCACTTAAACATAAAACCTAAGGGAGTGAAATAATGAACAACCTTGGGTGAGTATGCTAGTATTTAGATTTATCAGTATTCAAGCTCCTCAGTACGATGTGTCAACTATAAGATGTATGAGTAGAGCTTTATTGTCTTTTCTAATATATGCCTTCTCTTTTCCAGCTATCAAGGAAGTTTCTTACGTGAAAAACCAGCACTCATCTACAACTGTGTTACTACCACTGATTTTGTCGTTATTAACCAAAATGATTTTCACTGGTATGCTTTGTACTGGGTAATCTGATAGTAATAGAATTTATATCAAGAAATAATCTTATCTAACTACCAATCCTTTTAAAAGTTAAATTTCCACAGTCAATGCCACGATTGTTTGCTTGCTTATGGTACATGGTGCCCAGTGAGAAATTACATTATTTCTTCGATAACAGGTTTGTGAACAAATTATAATTTACGCATAATTTAGGGTGACCATGCATTTCTAATATTTGAACCGATCTTTTCAACATTTTTGTTCACATATATAGTAGACTTCGGGGATAAAGGAAACTGACTGTGTATTATTCGTTATCTCTGTTTAAGTAAGCTTAATGAAATTCAGTAGTGTGAATTAAGAGTCAATCTGAACGACGAATATTCTTTTCAGTAATTTCTCTTCAGGTTCTTACAATTATAAACTATAATATTTGTGGTCGTTACAAAGATCGCCAGTTATACTATGGATACATTTTTTTAACGTAGAATAAGAGATTAGTTATGGTGTCTCAAAATAAATAGTCGTATTTGTGTGACAAACTTGCTAGGCTGAAACCACTTACAAAATATTGTGAAATGGGAGATAATGGCGGTAATTAGTCATAATAGATTTTCAATTATTGGTTTTGTAGGAATTTTGTTTGATTGTATGGAGGAGGTCGCTTGCCTTGTAACCAGAAGGTCCTGGGTTCGAACCCAGGTGGGTGCGTACTGAAGAAGAGTTCCAAACTAGGACGAAACAGTTGTCCAATACTCCCAGGTTTTTCAGTGGTTCTCTAACTGATGTCAGCTCATGATGAAATCCCCCACATAATAGATTTGCAGAGTGTGGGGTAGGAAAATTGACGAGGCAGTTCAAGGTTATAAAAGGTATCTGGTGACCTGGATGGATCAGCTTTACAAAACAGATATAAAGCACTGCTATAGGTTTCGTTAAAATCTGGCTTCTTTCTAGATCCTCATTCTTATTCTTGTGCCATTCGTTCGCATATTTTAAGGACTTTGTGAGAATGCTGGAAGGATTGCCTGTTTTCATGTACAATAAGCATTTCAACATCTGGTTGTAGAACGGATATTAGTGCTGCATTATTGTCATTTTAGCATCTTTATCTCCGAAACTGGAGATGAAGATACCTCAGAATGTAGTGTACAAAGTAGATCAGTTGAATGCTATAAATAGTTTTTGCAAGTTAGCTTAATTACATGCTAACACTCACTCGTCTAGATAACCTTTTATATCTCGTGACAAACTTATTCGAAAGGAATAAGAGATTTAACAGAACCATAAGGATTACTTCTGTTCAACCTGGCTTTCACTTGTGAACTTATTTAAACTTAAGGGTGAAACGTATTTTATCAGATTTTCCCAACACTATATATATATATATATATATATATATATATATATATATATATATATATATATATATATACTGACATTTTTAAAAGAAAATCACTGACATAATAAGTTAATATCTAAATTCACACAACTGATGGTACAGTGATTTACCAATTACTCTGTCCATCATTGATGTACAGGCGCACTAAGCTTATGAATTCTGAATAAGCCTCAGTATATATTGTAAATCTAACTACTGGCTATCACCTCAATGCTAAAAGCTTTTTGTAGCTTTAATGAAGCAATTTTACCTCATTAACGTGAATAGTAACATCTTTCAGTCGGGTGAGATATAACCGACTACAAGTAATAACCATTCAACAACAAAAATTCATATCCAGTTGTTATTAGCTGACAGTAGGATCCTTCATTGTCCATATGAGTAAGTCTTTGTATTGATGAATATCAGAGCATTTACAGAAAGGGTTCACAAGTGTGGAAATCTAGGTATCACAAGTGCATTTCTATTTGTTGTTAAAATGATATCAACATATGATAATTCTAGAAAACTTGGAAATTCATGTTATTATTAGTCAATACTGCTCATATGAATGATGATGAACATATAAAAACTGAATATACGTCAGCTGTGTACACGAAAAGTCCAACTTTCTACGGTTAGATGCATTTAACACCATACCTCAATACGCCGCCAGCTAAGATACAAAATGTAGTCTTCAGCCTGACCAACCTTATCTAAAACTTGTTTATATATATATACGTTTTCACTTTGTGGAGAATTAAATTACATAGATTAAATTACTGCTTGAAAATTCTCTCTTTAGCTCCCTAACGGCTTTACTCCAACTTTCCATTTTCAATAAAGTGAGAAGCAACCGTAATAATTATTTGCATTACTATTATTACTGTTACCTCTCCTACTAATACTGCCATTATCTATACACACTTATCTACACGTGAATAAGCAAACTGTTTGTTTTTACGTATGCTATTTTGGTCTATCTAAATTTCTGTTGTTTTTTTTCTTCTTCAGTTTTTAGTTATCACAATGATAAAAGCTACACTGGAACAGCAAAACAAACAGATAAACAAATGAACTTAGGTCAAAGTTTATCAGCACTTCAATAAAATTAATAAACTCAAAATAGATTATTCATTTGTTTGACATTAGAATCTTTTAGGTTGTTACATCACTGTTATTTGTTGAGTTGTACAGGTTAACATTTATTTGAAAACCAATAGTGGCGTATTCATATGTTTTTGTAAAGCCAGTAGAGGGTCTTAATTCAGGCTTATTGATGATTCTCAGTAAGTTCATCTAATACTTTGGTAGTACTCAGCTTCCCAAGCCGTATGAATAGATTACATAGTCAAAAACTTTATTTTCAGTTAACTTGAGTTACAATTAAGTCACTGTGGTCCTGTACTGTGCAGTTGAGCTCGTTAGATAATGGTAGCTAATGCACTTCAGTGGGTGGTCATATGTTTCAGTTG